TGTCGGCTGAAAAGCAACGAAACGATGGTGAACAGTGGGCATAAAGAAGAAAAGTCGGTGGTGGCGAAGAGACAACAAGCACGCATCGTTCCCAGGGAGGCTGAGGAGGCCACGGTAGGATCAGGTTTTTCTTAGCGCGTCCCTGGTGCGCAGTATTGGATGCTATGCCGTGACGACTCTGCCTCCGACTCGCGTACGTGTTCCTACCGACAAAAACGATTATCCTGTGCCAAAAAAGTTGTTATGTAAATGCACTGCCAGTCCTAGACTGTCGGTCAGAGGTATAGCTACTCTACTTGATCAAGGTGAGAGGATCCTAGATAGAGGAACTATACCATTGCCTGATTACAATGAGAATGACCTGGGTCGAAAATCAAAGGAAACTGAATTTTTTACCTGTATCGTCTTATATCGATTTACGTTACGATGCTATGGGAAGATTTGTAAGGCGACATGACAATGTGGAAAAAATATTCTTTGATAAATGTAGTTACGGACATCGAAATCTGTCAAAGAAGATTAATTTTTTTTATATTAGCGAATTAATAACGAAATAGGATTCGTGTATTATAGAAGAGGACTAGTGAAATAGGATAGATAAGTAAACATTTTAAAAATTTGGGGATGGGTGACTAGTACTTGTCCCTTCAAGGTAATGTTATCTGTTTTTCCAAAAAATGCCATATGGGAAGGTAAAATAGCAATTCATGAATTAATGCTAGATAATTAATATCGACGCAATTATTTATTTTTAAATCATTGATTTTTTTATTCAACTTACCCCGATAAATTAAAGTTATGAAACACGTATATTTTCTGGGTACTCCTTAATAAAAGAAGCTGAAAAGGAACGAAGAGAAACGAGAGTTACCATCAGAACTTTATGGTTTTTTGTATTTGTTCGATTTTTTAAAGAATAACTCTCGATACTTTATGGACAGTAAATCATATATGAATTACTCTCATTGATGGGCATTATTGTTTGATTTCTGTGTAATCAAGGGGCTCATGAATGTTTGAACGAACCCAGCTGCAAAAATCGCTCATGTTTAATTAACGAATGACCATAAAACACTCGAAACTGTAAAGCAAGTCTGACCATTTATTTTGTACGAAAGCTATCGGTATCTTGTTATAATTGTACTTGTCGAAGAAGTTAATTACAAAGAAGATTGAAAGAGGACGTTTAACAATATAGATTCAAACAGAACGTTGGAATGCTAAAAACTAAAGGCAAGCAGTGGCAAAAATTACATGAAAAAGTTAATGAAAACTTAAAGGAAATCTGAATTAAAATATAATAAATAAATAGCGCGATGACGTTTTATATCCTGAGATATCTTATAATCTTATGATTCTATAATTAGAATCGATAAATTTTTAGTTTTATACCATTTTAATGTAAATATTGCTTATACTTCTAGCTTCGTTCTCGATTCTCAGTCAAACAAGTTTCCATAACAACCGACTTCTTTCTCTTATATAAATTTAAGGTTCCAAAGAAGGTAAATGATCTCAATTAAACATGTTAAAGACACCAAACTGTTGAAACTTCTACATTACCTTATGAAACCTTATTCGACTTATATATGAAAATATAATGATATGTAGAAAGGATTCGGAGTTTTAGAAAGAATAAAAAAATGTATATTATTTCAATGTAAACTCTCGAAACATATTCTTTTGCACCAATTGAAATAATAATTAACAAAATTTCCCATATTGCATCATAATCGGAACTATGACAATTGGATAATTAAGTGTAGCTCTAAATTGTAGATATGCATTTATCTATACCGATATTGAAATAAATGAACTTTTACCGTATAATTTACTATCATCGCACGTTACGCGGATCGTTTTGTAAGTGAGCACATCGAAGAACGTAAGAGGGCGCGCGGGGGGAGTGAGAAATCGGCGCCTCATTAGAAAGATCCACATATCCCTTTGGTGGGTTCAGCCGAGGCTGCAGGGGCCAACGTCAGAAAAATCTCGCGGAACGAGTCACCCCGCTGCTGTCAGGGACTTACTCGTATCTCGGTCGGTGTATATAAGCGTGAGACCGGGCCTTAGGTTCGTAATAAGACCTGACGGCCAGGTTTTTCAGGGCCCGGCTCTACCGTATTGCTCCGTATCTCCTTCTGCATTTCTTCTCTTCTTCTAGCTTCCTGTCGCTCTCTTTTTTTTTCTCTCCCTCTCTCCATTGCCCTCTCTCTTCTCATCCCTTAAATATCTCCCTTTTTCTCTCCCCCTCCTCCTCCTTTTCCTCCTCCTCCTCCTCCTCCTCCTCATTCTACCTTTCGTACTCGGTTCATCTTCCGTTTCATCTTTCTTCCCTTTGTTTTAATTTCTATCCTTTCCTCTTCGTCGCACCCAGACCACAGGTTTTCTTTCTGGAGGGATACACCACTCTTTCTCTCTCCTGTTCCCCTCCCTTCCCTCTTTCAAGAGCGGCGTCCGATGCCATGCCAGCGGTACCGGTATTAATTTATACGCTGTACGTGTGTGCACGCCGCTTTTTCTCGCAGTTCCTCGAAATTTGCAAGAAACTAGTCGGACACCCTGGCGGCTCGACCGTCTGTCGCATACTGTCCGAGGCAAGCTCTCCTCCGCAAAGGTGAGCTCAGCTCGCCGAACCGGACTCAACAACCAAATGATCGATCAGTCGACCAACAATTCACCCCTCTAATATATCCAGATACAGGGAAATTATTTTTCGACGAGTCATCAGGCATCCAATTAAAAGAATATGAATTATGTCAAATATTCTTTGTAGACTTCATAGAGAATATTCTTAATATTCTGTCCGTTGTATATTACTGTTTTTCTTCTGTTATTTATGATAACATTAAAGGCTTGTATGGATCATCGGCGATAGGAAAGAATGAACAATTATTGATTCAACTATAGCATAAAACTATCGAGATTGAAGATTTCAGATGTAAGCTATGTCCTTTAGATGACCAAATTTGAAACTTGTCTTATTTATAAATTCTAATTTTATTCTAATAATTTTAGCCATTCTAAAGATACTTTGAATCATAGATGAGATGGTTTAATGATTTATTAGATTATTATTAGAATTTTATTGTTCGATATTATAAATAATCAGAATTGTCTCAATTTTACTCGAGTCAAACGTTTCCTTTTAATGAATTTTTACGTGAATCATTTAGTGGTGCAGACGTCCGTACCTCAAAATGAAGCGGAACTACAACTGTACAGAGTGATGCAACGTGCGTCTCTGTTGAGCTACTACGACACGCTTTTAGAAATGGGTAAAGAAATTCTTTTTTAAATATCTAGTATCCTTTCGATAATCCTTAATATCCTTTTCGATAACTTTGACGTTTTGAAGAAAGAATTAAAAAATACCATATAATAGTGGAAACCTTTTAAAATAATTCGTGTTAAAGAGATCGAACCATTTCTTACAAACTATTCTAGGTGGTGACGACGTACAACAATTATGCGATGCTGGAGAAGAAGAATTTCTGGAAATTATGGCGCTCGTTGGTATGGCAAGCAAACCTCTCCATGTCAGAAGACTTCAAAAAGCTCTCCAGGAATGGCTCACAAATCCTTGTAAAGTACCTTAATATCAAATAATTTTTTCGTACATTTGACTAAATCATTTTATCAAACAATTATACAAAATATTTGAAAATGATAAGATTATAAAAATATGGACATATATATAAAAAGAAATCATAAAAATAAAAATATATTACATTCTGCAAAACATAGATATTTTTAATGTTACGGTAAATCGGAAAGTTTAATAATTAATCGAGTTACCAAAATTCTGTTATAGCACTTTTCCAAACACCAGTTGTACCGACAACGGCTACGTGTAAAGCTCCTGCTGGCATAGGATTTCCCTGCGTGAGTCCTAGGCCGCAAGTGCAAAATCTTCAAGGTTTTACAACGACTTCGCAAACAGCAACTCCTACTCCATATGTTTCGTCGCACGTATCTCTAACACCATTACCATGTAGAAGTACTAGCCCTATTGTATCCGTTACAAGTGTAACAGCACCAGTGGCCTCAACAACATTTCGACAAAGTCCAAGTCCCAATACACCTCTGCCTTATACTACTTCTCACAGTCCTGGTATATTACAGGTATACTTCAAATAAAAAAAATGTTGCTACTCTTATTCCAGTTTTATGAACAATAGATGCAGCATATATTAAAGATATATTTTGTTCTTAATATTATTAAAATATTTAAATATTTAATTATTTAAATATTTGATTGCTTCAATTTATACATAAAATACTGTAATATAAAAATTTGTATCGATGTATAATGAATTGGATCGGATTTAGTCTTCTCTGCACGTTTGAAATCTGTATATTTAAAACTTTATCATTATCAGACACAAACCAATTATAGCACATTTTTCAGACAAAAGACATGCATATTTCTCCATACTCGATTGGTCAATAACATTTTAATAACTTCGAAGCGTCCTGTGTAAATGAGTTATTGGAGAAATACCATTACTTTCAGGTAGGGACATGTGAGTCATCCTGTGGTAGTGGTACAACACCAAGTCCTAGTGGCGGTGGTGGTGCACCTGCGAGTCCAACGCAACCTACTCCAACCCTTTTGCAATCTCAAATACAAAGACTTGCAGAGGCAGCTGAAAGACTTGCCGCTACTATTCGACCCGTTGATCCAAAACCTCATAATGTTAAGAAAAAAATTTGCAAAAATTTAGAAGTAAATATCACTTTTGTACGTGTTTAAAATGATCCATAAATTTTATGTAATCGTATTATTTGTAGATGGTAATGGCTATGCCTGATAGTGATCCACGTAGAATGGAAGAAATTCGGAAATATGCAGCAATTTATGGAAGGTTTGACTGTAAGAGGAAACCGGAGAAACCATTGACATTGCACGAAGTGTCAGTAAATGAGGCTGCTGCACAAATTTGCAGGTTCGTACCTGCCCTTCTTACTAGAAGAGATGAACTTTTTCCTTTGGCCCGACGCGTTGTGAGAGATTCTGGGTATCATTATTCAAAAAATCATTAGTAAGTATCTTTAGTTTCTATAAAAATATTATTAACTCTATTACAAGTATTTAGAATGAAAATATTGAAGATTAATGTAGGTAATAGAATTACGAAAGGCAATAGGTAATAGAACTATAAGTATCGTGAATTTTCTTAGGAAAAGATTGTCTTTTTTTGTTAATTTCTTCGAATATACACATATGTATAAAGTTTATCTTCCTAAAACCAGAATTCTAGTTACAGATCCTTTCTATATTAATTTAAAAGGTATAAATATACAAAATGTTCGGCTACCGTTTCTATATAATTTAAGGAGTGATTCTTAACGCTGAAATGAGACGAAAAGCAAGAATACAAAAATTGCGTTTTTGGTTTCAATTTTTAGTTATTGAGAATCAAAAATTGGACAAAATATCCCTGCAAACTTTCTTACATGAACGAAAGGAGATCGACCTAAGCAGCGGGGCACACAGTGATCCTCAATTCAGTCGACATATGAGCGACAGTTTACCTCCTATAAGTTAACCGTGGTGTTCGGAGATGTAAACAACCCAGCGCAACGTTTCACAAAAGAAATAGTAGATTAATCATTAAACCTGCTTACTCGTGGAAATCCATAAGAGCATATCAAAGGTCACCTTATGAAATTTCCGAGTAGAGGGGATTAATGTTTCCTCTAATCCTTTGCCTCTGCAAGTGTCCACAGCAAAATCACACACGCACCGCGATTGTCCTATGATCAGAAATGTCCATTACGCATATTTGTAATTGCGCATTTGTTAAACGTTGCCTCGTCAGTAAATAATATTCTGGCGGGAAAATTAGAATCGCGTTGGACTTTCCTACTCATCCATTCTTAGCTCTGTTGAACTTTCTGGATGCTATACGGGTGTAGATTTTCCTCCTTCAATACTGGCCATACGGTGCTGTTGCTGACACCTTTTTCAGCAGTAATAGTTCTCATACTTAAATTGGGATTTTGTTGAATACGGTGCAGTGCTCTATCTCCCAGATCCGCGTCGTCGTACTGAATTCGTATGCCAGATAGGACAAGTTTTAATGTGCCGGTATCCCATATTCGTTGAGCTATATTGTAAAATGTCTGTGCGCTGAATATAGTCCTGTTGGGATATTTTTCGACGTATAAACGTCGCACTTTTGCATTATTCCCGTCCGCCGCAACGTAGCAAAAGTATATATGCGAAAGTTCTGCAAATGTATACATTCCATAACAAATGTGGCTACAATATAAAGACTGTTACACTGCATACAACACTTTCAAATATTATTTTGACATTTTGTGATGAAAAGTGAATATTTACCGAAAAACTTATAGTCGGTTTTTCCACACTTCCTACAAAATGTCAAATTAATATTTTATATTATTCCACGAATATAGTCACAATGTTTGCTTCAAAATAAATAATAAATGCGATAGTTATGCTTCTTTTCTATACTAGAGCTTTCTTAGAGCATTCTTCCAATTTTTTTCTTTCTACGTTTAAAACACGTTACGGTCATAAAAATTGAAGACAATAAGGCTTGAAGAATTGAGATATTTCCGAAACCCATTTGGTAAACAAAAAGCCCACTTTTCCAATGAGCATATTTAATAAATCTCTAGCTATATAAATTTTGAAGATTGCGTAAAATAGGTTCTTTTAAACACATTTGATATGCAGCCTCTTCGCTTCCTATCGTACCCTTGCTTTCAAAAAGAACTTCTTAAATATCATAACTGTTACGACTGTTCGCGGAGAGACGCGGTCGCTAGGAAAACGCGTCAGTGAGAGGCGTAAATTCTCGCTACGATTATGTTAATCGACGCCGCGAAATAGTCGTTCCCCTGTTTCGGTTAAGATAATAGAAGTGGTTCAATGAATGTAACACTGTATTAACAGGTTAACATAAAATAATATATTTTATAATAATATGATGAATATATTACAGAAAGCTGACTCGACTTCACGATATCTCTAGATAAATTCGTTAGACTATTTGATTTTGCTCGTCAGATTTCTCGACGTGTCACATTTGACTCGTCAGAAGGAACTGATCGCCTTTCGATGATTTCTTTGTCTCATTTGGAAGACGACCCCCACTATGCTCGGGTCACGCCACCGCTCGCGCCTATGATCACGTATGCCTCTTCTTGTGTGAAAAACGTAACGGACAAAAATTCGACCTTTCTAGAGCTCGCTGCTTGGCGACAACTATGCGCTCGTCGATACATTGTATATGATCCGGCGGGCAGATAAGACGATCTGCCTGCGACACTGTAGGACCGCGAGCGACGGTTAGACTGTGGTAAGCCTCGTGGCGTAACAATAACTGTTCCTGAATAATTCCGAGTTATACAAAGAAAATGAAAGCATTGGTAATGAGTATCGTAAATTTTTCTTCCTGAATAAACTCTACATTACTACATTGCCATGTTTTAGCTATTTTGAAGCAAGAAACTAGAATAGTTTCGGAAGAACAAAATCATTCCGACATTCGAACTGAAAATATTAAGTTAGAGTCTTACTTGAGTGTATTGTATATGCAGTGCGCGTAGTGCGTATACTGCAAGAACACTTGACCAGTTGTTTTGGAAACAGGATAGTAGATCGGTTGAAGAAAACCTGTGTTTTGGTCTGCTTGGTCACCAGATTTAAATCCTCTCGATTTTTACTACTGGGGCACATGAAAACACAATACAACAAAATTTTCAGAGAAGAGTCAGGATCTGTTTACAAGGGACATAACGAACATCTATTGTATTTTTTGTGGACACTCGCGGCTGGGACAATCGCGGTGCGTGTGTGATTTTGCTGTGGACACTCGCGGAAGTAAAGGATTAGAGGTAACATTAATACTCTCCATTCGGAAATTTCATAGTGTAGTTTTCGATATGTTCTTATGGATTTCCATGAGTAAGCAGGTTGAATGTTCAAACTACCACTTCTTTTGCGAAGCGTCGTGCGGGGTTGTTTACTTCTCCGAACACCATAGTTTTCTTTTGTACGACTCATACGAGGTGAGCTGCAGCTCATATGTCGATCGAATTGAGGATCTCTGTATGCTCCGCTGCTTAGGCTGACCTCCTTTCGTTTATGTAAGGAAGTTTGCTCGAGGATATTCTGGCCGACTTTTTATTGTCAATAGCTAAAAAATAAAACTAAAAACACAATTTTTTATTCTTGATTTTCGTCTCATTTCGACGTCAAGAATCACTCCTTAAATTATATAGAGACAGGACACGCTGTATATAAATAGGGATGACTTTTAAGTTACACAGTGTTATAGAAGGTTAGCCAAATCCACATGTAGTTTTTAAGCCAATTAAAGTATGATATTCATAATTAAAATGCTTTAGCTTATCCGTGTCAAGGCCACGTGAAAATGGCGAAGAAAACGAACCTGATCGTACAAAACGACAAAAGCTCGAGCTTGAGGGTGAGAATGAAGATGCGACGCAGGTTAGCTCACCTCGATCATCATAATAAGCCATGTACATACAGATTCCAGTTCAGAATCATTATAAACTTGGGACAAAGTCATGGATTTTAATATAAATTGAATACGACATATCTTATGTGATACATCAATTATATAGTATAATCATAAAAATTAGATACCAAAAAATTTTCATTATATTTAGAATTACACTAAAACAAACGTTTTATTAAAGAATTTAATCACAACTTAATATAAGAAAAATTATGAAATAATTTCCTTGGTAACGTATATTATATTAATTATTAGATAAGTTGAATCAATTTATAATTTTTATGGTCAGTAATTAAAGAAATTACTAAGTAATGATTATACAAAAATAAAATCGACGATTTTTTTAAATATTACAAAATATCATATATGTAGCCTAAAATAGAACGTTACAAAATCCTTGATGGAATTCCATAGTTATGATTTGATCTGGAATCGTTGGCATATTAATGAGCTGCTGCACTCGCATGAGCGCTAACAACTAACTATGCACCCAGCACGTAAACAATTGCAACACGTAAACTACCACCACGTTGATATACGCGCGAAGCACAAGCAGAAAAGGTCAAGTATAGCTTTTGCATAACATGCATGGCTTTTGTACTAAATGTTTGTATACTTATGTTTGTTAATTAACAGGTATTTAAAAAACGTTACATATTTTATAAATGTACATACATATAAAAAAATTCTTCTCAGAAACTGTTTTTCCTTAAGTAGAAGGTGCTTTTTTTAATAAGAATTTTTTAAATTTATGTATTAACATATTAAAAATTAAATTACTATCTAAAACACAATTAATTCATACAATATTTTCTTCCACACTTGTTAGGACTCTATGCTTTGTTCCTGGTGTCCTTACGAGTTGTGTATGCCTGTTATATTAGTTATATTGAGTAATTGTTATTAACTATAGTAATAATAATAAGTAGCTTTTTTCTGGCTGTCATTTCCTACGTTATATTTGTTACTTCTACTATCTGTAGCAGTTCACTGTTCTAGGAGGAGTTGGATCTACGTTGCCCTGAAATGGATATAGGTAACTCAACAATTAGAAGACACAGATCTTCAAGGTGATTACTTTGAGCTCAAATGGATTATTAAGTAGATAATGCACTGTAAAATACTTATAGGTTGCAATCTTGAATATCTCATATATATTTTATTGACTTATAATTGCAAAGAAATTAATTTTGCAAGTATATATTGATGTTCAGACATTTGCATTGTTTTAGTCCAGTTTGGAGGAAGAAGAATAACAATGGTATGTTCAGTGCGAGTATCGAGGAGATTAGCGACTCTGACAGTCAACTTTCATTTTCAAATGAAGAGTCTTCATCGATACACGTAAGCAAATGTTTTGCGAATATATGTGTACTAATTATTTCAAATTGACAAATGGTCCTATTTACAGGACACTAATGAAGTTGAAGCAGATAATACAGATAAGGAAAGTGATTTCAATCTTAAGGTAGTAAATTTTATTTAAATTGATATACATATTATTTACTAATTTTTGAAGAAACATATATATAATAATATCAAGTTAAATTAGTAATAACTAGTAAATGCTAATTTGGCTTTCAATTTGGTCAAATATAGGTAATAGCTTCACGGGGAGATAATATAATTGCTGTGGCAAATCCTGCATTAATGGAATGTAATCATCCTATAAAAGAAGAACCAACAGACGAAAAACCAACGCTGTGATATTGTTAAAAAATTGTATTATCATAGTTGTCTCATTCTTAGAAACATGTTTCAGCCTGTATTAGAATTAGTATTATTATATGTATTTGATCATTGTCATGTTATTTCCTATAACATAATTTTTATGTTGGTTGTTGCTGCACAAGTAAAATTTTTGCATCAAAAACTATTTTAAAATTAGAATTAACAGATGTTACAATGGGTTTCATAAAACCAACAGAAGTATGTTAAAAAATACGGCGCTGGTCATTATTTGATTTTAATAAATTCTTTGTACTTATTTTAAGCTACAAAAACACTTTTAGATGTTGTATATACTATTAATTTCTTTAAATCAAAAGCGTGTGTTGACTGAAATATAATTGCGTATTGTATAACACTAAAATTTGTAAATATACAATGAACCTTTTTTATTCAATGTATTGTATTTTTTAAGCAATCTATACATTATCATATGATTTATGTAAGTTAATAAATACGTATGAAAGTAGTTACTTTGTATTATTGTAAATTTCTAAAAATATATAGCTTTCGAATTCTATATTCTTGAGCATCTTCATATTTGTCACTGTTACGAATGATATATCCATTCCTCAGTATAGAATACTAGAATACTGTATAATACAGTTTAGTACAGTTGTACATACTACTATACGACTTGCGATACAGTCTGTTACTGAGTACAGTCATAGAGATATATCGTGTGATCGAGTGTAAAGATATAGTACGTGAAGGAACTGAAAAAAGCGATATTGAAATAGAAAGGGAAGGCTTCACAGAGGTCTTTTGTGTCTTTGTCTAATAAGCATGCACATTCGTACAGTAAATATGAAGCATAACACTGATCAAAGAATGGCGTAAGTATGCACGTCTGATCAAACAATTCGTATTCTTTCTATTCGTATATCGTATCTACTTTCACGGTAACATATGATATGATTTGACATGACTCCGTCGCGCACTCTATTCTTATATCTCTATGAGTACAATGTAGGTAGTAGTATAGTCTTGGAAATGTTATCCGTTATCCATGTGTACAGTACATATGTATAGTACATAGTAGTATGTACATGAGTCCGGATAATATTATCAGTGTGCTATTAATTAACAATTACTAGAAATAAAATATAAATATATTGTATACAGACTTCAATGAAATTTTATAATCGATGATATAACAATTATAGGTTATGTTATTATAGGTTATGTTCATCAACCCGTATAGAAAGGTGCACGTGGTAAAATTCATCATTTATAGTTGAATTAATTCAGATTTGTTTGATCGAAGCAATGGCTTTAAAAGCACAGAAGAAAACCTTCGCAGACAAAGTGAATTCATTAGTTACTACAACACCAGTAACTTTTAATTCCGACGATGAAGCGGAAGACACGAAAGCAAAACTAGTTGATCGTTATGATGAAAGTGATAATTCAGATAGTAATTTCCAAATTTCGGAGATACGTAGACGAAATGTGGATCTCTTGGATCAAGTGGACGAAAGGTACGAAATTTTACTTCAATTTTATTATAGAATTATTTAATAGGATTATTATTTCTCTACTATAGATATAAAGGTAAAAAAGTTTCAAGAAAAGATATATATGAGGATGATGATGATGAAGACTCTGTTGTACGAAGCACTTCAGAAAGTGAAGATGAAGAAATGAATAGTATGGAGCAAGAAAGTGATGATATCAGCAACAGTAATAATGAAGAAGATATGGAAGATGATGATGGCGATATGGAGGATGATGAAGATGATCATTCGAATGAGGAAATGAGTTATGACACTAAAATGAATTTAGAACAAGATTCTGAAAATGAAGATAGTAAGGATATCCTTTCTACAAAGCAGGGGACAGATATCAAGACAATATCGCAGATAAATATAAGAGCAGATATAGAAAAAGGTAGTTGTGTTAGAAATCAATTAAAGCTTTGGGAAAATTTGCTAGAAATGAGGATAAAATTACAAAAATGTTTAATTACTAGTAATCAAATGCCTCAGCATGATGTTTATCAAAATTTTAAAATGGATGCAGAATACACAAAAACAGCTGATGAAGTAAAAAATAAGTTGAAAATATTATTGAATAATATGTTACAGTTGCAAACTTTCTTTTTAAAACAATACCCTGAAACAAAAAATTTATCTATGTCCAATAAAAAAAGGAAAGCTGAAGAAAGCATAGATGAAATAGCAAATACAGAAGATCCAATGGATGAAGAAATTCTTTCGGATACAGAGGATGAAAATGAAGATAAAGATACAATTTCAGACAAATATAAAGAAAGCTTTAACAAGAATGTATTTAGCAAAAAATTGAAACTTAAAGACTATGAAAAGATATTAAATGATAATCACAAATCATATATAGAATATAGAAATTCTGTTATACAAAAATGGAATGAAAAGACAAGGATAACTAGTGGTAAATTAAATAAAGGTATGAGTGAAACAACTCTAAAACAAATTGAATTCGCTCTAAATGATAAGGAAAAGTTGCTTAAAAAAAGTCGATTGAAACGTTCTGAATATAAAATTGTTGGTAAGGAACAAATAACAGAAGATAGTGATGGTAGAAGAATTCAAGACTATGATTCTGAAATTTATGATGATGATGACTTCTATCATCAACTTCTAAGAGATTTAATTGAATATAAATCATCTGATATCACTGATCCTATACAACTTAGTAAACAATGGATAAAATTACAGAATATGAGGCGAAAAATGAAAAGAAAAATAGATACAAGAGCTACTAAAGGTAGAAGAATACGTTATAATGTACATAATAAGTTAGTAAATTTTATGGCTCCTATTACAATAAGTGATACATGGACAGATCATGCAAAGGATGAATTATATAGTTCTTTATTTGGCAGAATTAAACCACCAAATGTACAAGTTGGTCGTTAAGTTTAGGACAATTAATAAAATGTTAATTTTATATATTTTAATCAAAAATATTTTATAAGATTTACAGAAATTTGATAATGAAATACAGGCAAAAATAATTATAGTTAATATTATGCAATAAAATAAATAAACAAAATTTGTTTATTGTGTATATAATAACGCAAGAGTGCTTAAAATTTTATACTTAATGATATTTATTGGAATATTATTTTTCTTAGCCTTATCAACAAGATGTATATATATAATTTTGTTTAGTAAATAAAGTAACTTTAATATATTAATTGATTTAAAGTCATTATAAACAGATTGATCATATTCATTTTCTTATTATATTTTAAGGAGAACATCAGGCAGTTAAGTATAAAATATTTAATGTAAACGTGACTATCTATATAATCTGCAGGTATATTTTGCATATTTTTTCATGTAGCAGAGTTGCGCCCTCTATCTATTTCGTGTCAAAATAATAAACTGCATCAATTAAACGTGATTTACGTACAAAAATAATTTTGTCCAATTTTTTAATGCAAATGCATCACTGTGTGTCTCCTCTACATCCGTTCTTTTCTTAATCAACTACGTCAAGCTTTAGAACCAGTAGTCTCACTATTGTATTTAGTTGATCCATGGTTGATGTCTATTTCGTTTCATTCTACCTAATTCGACCGGCGATTTCGCTCGAAGGAGCAGTTATGGATTCTGCTTGTCAAAATTCAGATTTTAGCACTAAATATTTGCTTGGTCAGTTAAATATAGCCAGAAAAGAAATTAATAATTTAAGGTATTACTTGCATTCTTCTGTCCCATCCTATCTTTATGAGTTCAAAGAATTACTCAAAGAGATATCAACAAGTTCTACTCAAACATGCTGTTTTCTGCATACTTACATATTTGTAGTGTACATATAACTATGTGTATGTATGTGTTCGTGTATATATGGAGTGTATGACTATTACACATACGTAAAATAAACGATACAATTAAAAATACTACAATTTTTGTTAAAGTTAAAAATTTATTAAATTCATATTATATTTTATACCTTATTAAAATTTTATTTTTACTAATATGTGACAGTTTATTGTATTAATTGTAATTTCCACAGACAACAAATAAAGAGTCTTCGATATATACATGAAAAAGATGTTGACAGCATAAAGCGTCTTTTGGAATCATTCAGAAATAGACCATCTATGCCTGACGCAAAAGTTATAGGTCCAGATGATGTCAAACCTAGCACTAGTACAGATGATGATACCATAAAATTAAAACCAATTGGAGTAATATCTACTTGGTTTCCTAGTAAACGTGGTACACCTAGACAAACTGGAGTCTGTGGAAAAGTACCAGGAAAATTGTTATTATATAATTCAATATTTACTAATCCTGATCATGCACTTGAAGGATTACAAGATTTTTCACATATGTGGTAAGATAATCTATTTAAAAAGCAAATAGTTTATAGTAAACAATTTTTTTTTGTTTTATTTATCCCTAAATAATTAATACAAAATCATTTTTCTCTCAATAGGGTTCTATTCTACTTTCATAGGAATGATTCAACACATGTTCGTGCCAAAGTTGCACCACCAAGATTAAATGGTACAAAAACAGGTGTATTTTCTACACGTTCTCCACACCGTCCATGTCCAATAGGTTTGAGTTTAGTAAAAATTACAACAATAGAAAATCATACAATTTATTTTGAAGGTGTAGACATGGTTGATCAATCACCTGTACTAGATATAAAACCTTATATACCACAATATGATAGTCCTATATATTTTGAGAAATTAAGTAACAGATCACAAGAATCTAATGTAGATGATGCATTTGAGTGCATAGAAGAAACTGCCAGAAATCAAACATGTGACACATTCAGTACTAATGTTAGTCTTGGGGATGAAACAAGAAGTTTACTTTCGGAATCTTATTATAGAAAAGTTATTAATAAAACAAATCAAGAGACAGATGTTTCTAGAGACGAAGAAATTGCTTTAAGGTTACAAGCTGAAGAGTTCCAAAGGAATTCAAACTTTGAAAGTTATTCCAGTATGAGACATTTTTCTGAATTAAATGATATCAGTTTGCACAATAATAGCGCACTACAACATAGCATAGATGTAACCGATATACATAGAACTGCTCATACATTTTCCGACACTTTGTCTGATCCACGGACAAGTTTGAATATAATAGGACATAACGTACTTTCGTCCAACGTGGAACAACCAGAGAGTTTAGTAGATATAAATAATAGATTACAAAATATTAACGTAAATGGTCGTACTAACATCGAACCAACATACGGATCAAGAAACGTGGGATCTAATTACACAGAAACACATGCTTCTCGGTCTAGACTTTTAGATGGAGCTGATGGACCAAATACCATTTGTGGTACAGATATAGATTTAATTCATCGACGATCGTTAAATTCGAGAATTGATAATTCTCCTGTAAGGATGGGGGTACGCGAAGCTCCTGATGGAGAAGAAGGATTAGAACCACAAGTTCTTACTCCTTCACAACATTTACCGAATCAAGTAATAAGAACAATGTCAAACAATAGCTTACCAGACAGTGGAGACACACATTTAGTATTCTCTTCTGAATCGAGAAACGCTGAGAACAGAGAATCTGGAGCTAATATTTCTTCGGAGATAAGAATTCCAGAGTGGATATCGAGACCTCGAACACCTCTATGTGTAGTATTTAACGATCGTGCTTTGATTCAATTAAACGAGATTTTAGGAACTAAAATAAATGACCAAAAAATAGCCATTGAAAATGTACTTCGCGAGGATCCTAGATCGGTATATCTGAGACAACGATGGGGTAGCCAATTTTATACTTTCTTAATTCATGATTTACACATCACTTGTAGATTCGACGACAGCAGGGGTATAGTAACAGTTTTTCAAGTCAGACACGCTGGTCGTATTTGCGAATGTGGAGAGCCTGAGTGGCAATGTTTGGGTCATTCACCACCCTCTTCTTAAACGTACGCAAATGTGTATGTATGTATGTATGTATGTATGTATGTATATGAATACGTGCATATAATTTTTAAATTTGTTGATTATATTGTAAAAGGTGATAGTGAGAAACTTAATTTATATACCTTTAGGATATTTTGTATATCATATTCACTTTATTTGTAAATCATCGAATATTTCGTATTAGCCTAACATTTGTTAGTAAATTATGAATATATAATAAATCAGAATTCGGGTCTTTTAAATAATCATTAGTAATTCAATCAAAAATATAAAAATTATAAATACAAAATTAATATGAAATTCTGTTGTGCAAATCAAACGTTAAAAAGATTATTTTTTACTCATTTACAAACGAAATTATTATCATCGTCATGTGCAAATAATTTTTAAATAAGTTTACTTTCAGTAAACTAGAGACTTCAGCAATATACATTTCAAGATCTATTTCGATGTTTATTAAACAGAAAATTACTTTCTACATAAAAAGTCGAACTTGATAAAATATTCGATTACATAACTTTTTTACATCTTATAATTTTTGTACATTTCGAACTCATTTATTGATAATTTTACTAATGGAAACGATCTTTTCTTTTAAAATTTTTAAACTTCTTTCTACATACGTCTAGAAACTAGTCTAAGATCTTTCGCAAGTGCGTTATATATATTTAAAAGATTTTTAATTTAAGATGCATTTAGATATCAAGCCTTTATAAATCATGTAAATTTTGATGTATAGGAATAGATCAATTTTTTATTATTTTGATTATAGAATATTTATTGTATAATCTTTCATGATTTTTTTGTCGTAATTATACTATCGTATTTTATCCTGTTACGATACAAACGTTCCTATATGTTTACTTTTTGTAAAGGATTAGAATACAAAAGTTACATTTCAAATTCACGCACAAAATAAAACATTTGGGAAAGAATTTATTCTAATTTTTATAGTTCTAAATAATTGTTCATAAAAAATGTCTACGTTATGTAACATAATATTTGTTTCATTGCATTATTTGTTAACTAAAACTATAAATACATATACAACTCAAGTATACATTCGTATTGTTGAATCTGCACCTGCAGAAAATACCCATGGTTGAATAGGGTGAAACATCACGTCCAAAATACCAAAGTCATTATAAGATTCATGATTGCATAATCTTTTAAGTGGTACAATTAATGCGTTTTGCAATAAATCACTGAAATACATTATGAAATAAATAGTACATAATGAACAATGGTCAAATAATTATAAATGCAAGTTATCTTACTTGTACACCATTCCATGGGAAACAATAAGACCTCTGTCATCAGCACCAGATGCAAAAAGTGGATATCGCTTATGAAATGCAACACTGCGAACGCCTGTACCATGTAAACGTAATGTCTGATAAGGTTTTGTACTTAAATCAAGATCAAACCAAAGCATTTTGCGGTCGTATGTGCCTACTAAAATATTGTCACCTCCTGGAAATATAAGTACGATTATTAAACGAAATAATAATGATTTAAGTACTTACATTATTCATATAATGTTCAGTCTTACCTGGATGTATTGTCATTGATGATATCCATTGTGAATTTGATAGCAATTTTTTAATCATTTCCTGTTTTATTAAATCGTATATTCGAACATTTCGTTGAGTCTACAATTATTTTATTACAATTATATATTTAGAATTTTACGTTTAATTTATATTATTTTCTACTTACTGCTACAAATAAATAGGGCCTAATTGGATGAAACAAGACACACTGTATTAAACCTTTTGACCTGGTGAAAGGTAATTGGGATCTTCTTTTTGATAATTGATTTATTAAGACAGATCTGTTTTGACCATCTGGCATAACAGTAGCAAAATAATCACCTTTACCATGCCAAGTTACTTGTTTTACTGTTTTGAAATGATTTAAAATTACCCTAATTCCATTAGTCCAATATTCATCTTCTGCTTGTTCCCACTGAACAGCAGCTTTCACTCTTTCACTTACTGTAACAAAGATACAAGTATACTTTTTCTATAAAGTATTTTTATGAAGTATTGTATAGAAATTATATTTTACAATACCTATAACATCACTTTGAGGTACTATTTCTAATAATTGATTTGTTTTATTAGTAATTAAATGATCTCCAACACCAGGATTTATTAATAGAACCTTTTTATCTGCAGCTACCGCTATAAGCGATAAAGATTGATTTGGACACCATGCCACAGATCTAATTATCCCCCCACATGGTACTGTTTTTACACACCTGCCTGTTGCTATTTCCCATACTGTAAAACAATGAACATTGTTATATATAATGTATAATATTTCATAGAAGATATACTTACTTTTTAAGTTCATATCATCACCACCAGAAGCTATATATTGTCCCATTGGTTCTGCTGTAATACTTCTTACCATATCTGTGTGACCTTTAAATACCATAGACATTGTTGTAGGGAAAGGTTGTAAATCCTTTGGACTTGGCAATTGAGGCACTAAGGCTTCTGGTTCTATTGTTAATCTCATTTTCAATGCTCTAGGGCACAAGTACAAATCTAAGCATCTTTGAAATCTTTCTTTAACGTATTTAGGATAGGCAGGTACTTCGCGGAGAGCATTATATTTTTGTGGAATGAAGTGTAATTTTCGTTTCCATGGTGTTGTCTGTAATTTATTCCATTCTTTTAGTTCCTTTTTATCGAATAAGTATTCTGGGGGAGGATTATAGCTTTCTGCATGTCCAGGTAAATGCCTTTTTGGTGGTGGGATATGTTTATGAATTCTACGCATTTCTTCAGCTTGATCATCTGATTGCCACAACATGTAAAATTGTGGTTCATTTTTCTTCTCCCTTTCTTTCTTTAATTCCGCTGTTGATTTTATCCAACCCATCTTAAGTGCATGAACTAATTTTGATACTTTTTTAGCTTCTGATTTAGATGGTAAGAATGAACGTTTATGTTCAGGAAATTTACGTAATGGTGTCTTCATCACTTCTGAAGTGAACCACTCTACCCATGGCTGTAAGATAATAACATAAAAATGTAATTCCTGAATCACTAATAAATTAGAAAAATACTTACAGCATATTCATCAAAAGTTATGTCCGGAATTTTTCGTTTTTGTATCCTTGTAATTAAATCTATATCTGCTTCACTTAATATAACATCTTGCCCAGTCTGAGGATCCTTAATTGTTCTCCAAAAATCAGGATCTTCCATTCTTTTCAAAAAATTGTCTAACTGGTCACCTTTTTGAGGTTTTATAATTTTTTTACCATCCCAATCATAACCAATATGATCATATTCATCATACCACTTCATTGGTATGTTTCCAACTGTATTACGAATATCTTCTTCATCAGAACTATCATATTCATATTCATCTACTTGTTGATCTGTTACTAACTTATCATGATTTGCATTTTCATTATGTATACTAGATTCTGTATTCTTCTTAGTACTCCTTTCTTTACATTTTTCTAAATCTAATTTTAAATTTTCTTTATTTTGTACCTTACCTTTTTGTATATCTTTACCAATATTTGATTCGTCTGATTTATTTTTATTTATAAGAGTTTTGCTTTGTTTCTTAGTCTGTAGTGTATTAGAAATATTCCTATTATTAATATTAAACATAGAAGATCCACCTTTTTTTATTTTTGCAAATTCATTATCTTTAGATGTTGAGGGAGTTTCAGAATTTTCACTTTTTTTTTCCAAATTTTCATCTTCGCTTTCATCAAGAGAAATATTTTCTTCTTCACTTTCAGAATAATCTTCATCAAGACCAAGATCATCTGAATCTGTCTGAAAGCTTAATTCATCTTCTTCATCATCAGATTTAAAGACAATTGGATCTTGTTCAGTGTCTGATACAGGAATATCTTCATTTTCATTTATTTCTTCATCTGAACTTCCATCATCGTTATTTACTTCAGCAGACAATAAATCTTCGGTACCTGAATCCTAAATAATATTTTTCGTATCATGAAATATAAATAATAAATGACATTTTCGAAGTACATATATTTAATAATAATTTAATTTGGTTTAATTTGGTTATGTTTTCTTATAGGTTAGAACATATCGATGGAAAAAATTTACCGATTGTTCTTCAAATATAGGTTCTGGTGAATCCGTTTCTCCTTCTCTAACATTATTTGCAGTTTTTACGTTATTTAGCTTCCTCTTTGAAGTTTTTCGTTGATTCTTCATCTTCTTTTCCGCATGTATACAAGTAATAATGAGGTTATGTATGTTTCACGTGTTGTCAAGTACTTTAAATTTAGTTATATGAGAGTGTGAACTATAAAATAATATATATGAGTTCTTTGGACAAAGGGAGGGGATTTTGGCGCTCTTCCCGCCAATAGTTTCGAAAATTCAGAAGCCGTAGCAATGAGCTAAAGAAGATGCCTTGCAGAACAAGAGTAATAAGAAAGATTGAATAGCGCAATACGTTAGAAAAGGTCGACTACATGTGCATAGAGAAGTGAGGCATTAAGCTAAATTTGTGCTAAGAATACTGTCCCAGGAAAGTATTTACGAATTAAAGGTTGTGTGGGGTTAATTCCATCCCTTGGTATCCTATACATAATCGTCCCCTCAAAACGTCATATATTAGGAATAAGCTGGAATAAGTACTTACAATTGTACGTGTATACCAAAGAATTCCTAAAGAGAAATAAATATCTATTTAATATATGAATTTGTCATTGATTTTTATAAAACGATATTACTACTTCCTCCCCATTTTATTAATTTGATAAGAATAAATTAATAAGACAGTTTTAATAGACAATAATCACATTTATTAATTGCTTACAAAAAAGTTGAATACCTTTTATTAAACACATTAAAATCCAAAGTGCAATTAATAAAATTTTCAATTTGTGAATATAACACTTAGCTAATCGAATAGGGAAATCTCTCCTCTGTGAAAAACATCGCTGCGTGACCGAACGGGGAGATGTCCCTTTTTGACTTTAGCAACGCGTTTTCCTTTTTTTTTGTTGTTATTATCATTGTTTACCTGGAATTGTTCCCCATTACCTGCACCACTTTTTCCGCTTTTATAAATATATAATAAAATACACCAATTTAGTGGTGTTAAAATTAGTTAAAAAGTTACACTATCAGTTATGACTAAATAATGTTATAATCGAACGATATCACACTATAAAAAAATATTAATATGCATTATGAATTTTTAATTTCAAGTTCAAGTCGTGTTATTTATCTTTTGTCATCTTTAATGTTTTTAATTTTACCTATATTTTTTGCATAAACTACAAAAGATAATTGTTATATACTTTTAATTTGATGTTTTGTATAAACAATATGTGAAATTGTTAAATAAAATCATTACCGCAAAATATAATTAATCACTTAAATAATTTTGGACTTCTTTGTTTTTTAAGTAGTGAATATTAGTCCTCGATACTTGGAAAAATATGCGGTGGACAGCATATAGGTTGGCTTGTCAGAAAGCGGTGGAAATGTATAGCTCACTGTAACGCGCGTGGTTGGCTAAGTGTTAAATAAATGATTTATAGACATACAAAAAAGACATACATTTATAAGATTCTTTACTATTGTGTAAATAGAATATTTAAAATATATGAATTACTTGTCAAAATGATTTACTCTGATAAATTCATGTTACATAAATAAAGCACTTCATCTATTTATGCTTTTTAATATACATTATTTTTTCGACATTATTATATCAATAATTAAGAAAATGTATGGTTTAATAACTATTAATGAAAAATAATAAACCTCTGTGAATTTCAAATATAACAAAATTTTACAATTTGTTATATCACTGTATTATATCTAGTTTGTTGTGCAGTATTAGGCGGTGTAGTTGTTGGATGAATATGAACCGGTAAATCCCATGTCATTGTTTCAACATCCAAGATCAATGGTCCTTGCCAGTTAACAGTACTTTTATTGGGCATTTCTACTAATTTGGAAGTAGTAACAAATTCGAAGTGTAGTCTCCATTTTAGTGTCATTAAATCAGTAGTAAAATCTGGTGTTACGTGTAATGGTATGGGTAATACCAAATGGGAATATTTTAAACCCATACACATTTCGTGGTGTTTGTTGTAACTGACCAAAGTTGGTGTTGAGGCCTTTCCTCGCCTGTACTCCTCTGAAATATGTTCCTCTGATTGCAACGCAACAGATACTTGTGCACAAGAAACGGTAGCATTCGAGAAATCAAACGTTCCAACTATGTCTTCTCCAAGTTTATATGAATTTTTAAAAAGACAAAATCTCACAACACGCCCACGTCCGTTTGTAATATTATAAAAATTTGGACTGCGTCTAGCTGTTAAATTCTAAATGTAAAAATAAAATATTAATTAATACTGTATTTATACAACAAATATAAATTTTTATGTAAAAAGAAACTAATAAACCTGAAGAGTTTGTAGCGCGACATCTAATGGAGTATCTCTGTGTTGTGTTTCCATAAATGGATTATTTGGACTCAAGTCAACACTATCATTACAAGCAGTTACTTCAGGCAATTCTACAAATTCATGAATAAAAGCAGTAGCTTCAGTCATAATTTTTCTACAGTGATTTAGTAGAAGTAGTGCTAAATTATTAAAATTATAAAATTAGATAATATACTACCACTTAAAGAAAGTACTCTGAATGGAACTCTAAGTAGCTTTATAGCTGTGTTTACTCGTTGTGTTCCAATTGTGATTTTATATGAATACTTTACTGCATGTCCTCTATAAGATGGAGGTGCATCACTTGGAATTGTCTCCCGATAAATATCTGCAAAATTTAAACATTAAACAAAAATTTATTTATATAATTTTCATCATATTGTTGGTCTATAATATGTCCAAGTTCCAATTAGATACTCACATGTTTTACTTTCACCAGGAGATAATCTTAAATCACAAAATAAAATTTTTGGCTTTGTATTTAGAACAACATGACCATTATCCTGTTGCCATGGTGCAAAGGTTGTATCTGCAAAACACTTATTATAAAAAACAAACTGAATGAATTAGAAAGTTACATTCAAAATAATTAAAATCAAAGAAAGAAATTCTATATTTCTTCATGCAACAATTAGAAATAATTATTTTAAAATACCATAGACTTACTTGCATTAATAGCTGCTAACTGTGCTGTCATGTTCAGCTTCTCCGAGAAAACAATTTTATTATTTGTGGAACATTGGCAATGAACTTGTGCACTAGCCCATGCGAGACTTTCAAAAATATCACTAGAATTATAATTTATGTGTAAAAATTTAGCTCTTTAATATAAATAAATAAATTACATATTACCTATGACTTTGAGATATTTGATGAATTGGATTTAATGGATTACTAAATGTGACCAAACATTCTATAACTTCGCCAGAAAAATATACAGGTCCTCTAATTAGTTTTGCTGTTATCTCAATCATGATTTTTATTATAAAAATTATGAATACACATTTAAGTAAATCTCACAATATATTACTTGTTGTTTTCTGGAATATATTAATTCATATTAAAAATTTGTTTCATAATATTTTATACTACATATTAAAATTGTATAATAAATCAATTTTTTTATTCAATTATATCAAACGAAATTCAAAATAAATTTCATACATATATTTTCAATTTATAAAATGAATATTTTAAACATTATTTCACCACTTTACTTATCCATATTCTATTTTGACGTTCAAGATTCCAAACATTAATCTAAGTCTAAAACTATATGAACATAAAAGTACCAATACATACTATTACACACGTTACACACGGTCTACACGGCCTAATACAGAAAACTTAAATGTCAGTTTACAATCAAAATACGTGTTCTTACATCTCCTTGATATGTTTTATTTTCCTTGCTGTTCATATGCTTTATCTTCACTTGATAATCCAACATGTAGTTATTGATATTATTGGTTATCAGAAGCGCTTGTTACAGTGATACAACTTATTAACAAAATGTTATTTATTTTTTTAATATTCCAACCGATTTTTTGCTTTAAATGACATAACCTACTTAATAACAATTACATATAATTGCAATGACAAAAATAACGGCATGTAAAATTTTTAATCAAATTGATAACAAATATTATACACTTTACGTAGAATGGTTTAATTTACATTTTAAGGTAATGGTGTTAAATTCAACAATGTCGCCTTTAAGTGGTGAGGTTAGTTCACAAATCAAAGAAATTGAAAATTTGAATTTAATTAATGTAAATCCTAAAAAATATATAAGTTTTGTTATTTCTTAATTGAAAATGATTAACAAGCAAATTACATTGTAGATGAACACCAAAAATATAAATGATTTTTCTAATGAATTATCTAAATCATCTGATGAGTATATCGAAGAGACGAAGAAAATACTTCGTGGGAAAGATACAAAAATTCAGTTTTTCCTCCAAGACAAAATTTTAGAGTGGAAAAGTAATTTATGGACTCTTGGAAGAATTGAATTGTGTGTTATTTCAGATTTCCAAGTAAGGGAAAGTTTTCAACAATTGCTGAAATTTTGTCAAAGCATTCAAGATAAGATGACAGTATTAGAAGAAGAAAATAAAAATTTAATAAATGTAAATAAAGAAATAAATTCAAAAATAGAAAAATTAATAGAAATCAAAATTACTATGGAACAGGATCTTTATAAGAAGTTTATAGTAGTTTTAAATTCGAAGAAAAAGAAAATTAAAGAATTACAAGATGCTATAAAAAAGAAAGAAAATGTTAAAGAATCAGTTTTTGATGCATGTACAGATGAAGAATCTGAGAAAGAAGATGAAACTGTGAAAGATATTTCCACAATTATCAAAGTTAGCAAAAGAAAGTTACCTAATTATAATAACCCAAAAAGTATCCAGGAAAGTAAAAAAACAAATCATATTATTACTGATAAAATAATTCCTAAGGCATCCACCAGTAAAGATTGTGCAAGAAATGAGGTACATACTCCAGACGAGTATGTAAAAGAAATGAATAAGAATGAAGAAGAAAGTTGTAGTCCTAAGAAGTCAAGAAGTAGCCTGAATTTTGTTGAAGAAGAATCTGAGGAAGAATTATTTTCTCAATAATGCAAGTTGATCTATTTATAACTTTTATTTACAATTGTACATATTTTAAAACACAGATTGTGCAATAAATAATTGGAATTAGTATTTCTTAATTTAATGAAACTTAATTCATTAAATTATTTTAATTGTTTAACTGTTTTAATTTAAGATTTTTATATAAAATGTTTTTAACTTAATAATGTATAAAGTATATATGGACTATTAACGTAAATATTACATAACATATAATATTGCTGTAAGTACATACAATGATTTTTTAAAAGTAAGATTGATTTTGATGTATATGAATCTTGTAATTAATTACATAATTGTAATATACATATTGAATAAATTTCTTTTACTACCTTTTAAAAGAGGGAGTATTAGAAAAGGAAAAACTACTTTATTAAATTTTATAAAATATTGTATTACCCTCTAAACGTAAAAGCAAGTTCAATAATCCGGAATATGTAAAACTTGTTTTTTTTATTCAATTCCGTAAAATTACCAAAAATTATTTATTCGAAAAAGATTAATTTACCAGCGATGCGCGGTGGTACGATTACTTTCACTTCATAAAGACCTTCCCTAAATATTCTTCAAAAATCCTCCTGAATATAGAAATCCAAAATATTTAAATGCTTAATTAAATATTAATTATCGTCGTTTACTCAATGCAAGTGAGAAACCGGGCTACTTAATTTAGCGTCTCTTACGGGCTAATATATGATAACCCCTCAGAGTTAATTTCACTCATCATAAGTCATGCATGGATTTCAGTGAATAGTAGAAAAATTTCATTTCAAGTATAAATTGGACCTCTTTTTCTCCGTTTTCGACTTTCTTGAACTCACAGAAGCAGCAGAGTATAGCATATGGCTCATGTTGCAAACTAGAGCCGAGGTGCCGCGTCCTCACTAACCAGATGGTCCTGAGAGCTTGCACTCTAGGACTAATACAATAATTTATGCAAAGGTCTTTTGTAGAGATGCATTAAATAAGCGTATTTCATTCCCTCTCCTATAAAGACCGTACTAGAAACTTCATACCGGGCACATAAAGTATTCAATACGGTAATTATGGTTTACTAATTACTTTTAATTAAATATCCATTTCTTGTTGTAGAGATTGAAATCGTACGTCATTTCTGCTTGAAAGATCCTAAGAAGATTTATGGCAATTTCATTGCGAGTGTATTAATGTCGCGCTTCGTAAAAAAATTGTCGATCATTTTGTTCCGGTTGTACTCGAGAGTGAATAGATGAAGATAACGTTGACAACGAGGGATTAACGAACGGTGCGTGATAATCGTAACGACAATAAGCTAACGATTCCCATCGAGGTGTATGTTGCATATCCAAAGAAGTATTTGTAGTAATTGGTGTACTATTAGCATAGTAGCTCCTCTCAGATACGCTCGGAGGGTAACTGTATTGTGGTTCTAAAAGACTTTGGAGATGTCGTATGTACGTAATCGCATGCCTAAGTGATTCGATCTTTGAAAGCTTTTTGCCGGGTGGTTTACAAATCGGAAGCTTCGATCGTAGAAGTTCGAAAGCACGATTCATGTCACGCATTCTTGTCCGTTCACGGTCGCAAGCTGATTTTTTGTAATCTGAGAATAAAACTAAAATTAATTTAATAGTAGTAATATCTAAATTTTTGGTTGTTTATTATTTTCTCCACCTTTCTCAGTTTGCGATGGTTCTCTTTGGATCGATTTTATGTTGGTTTCATGAAGAATTTCTAGATGAGGATGAGTGTTTATCACTTCCGGTTCGGGAACTCTTATCACAAATACTCGATCGTTATTTTGTTGACGATCTTCGAAGTTTTCATCCTGCCATGATCTTCTCACAAAGTGTCGTCGAGATATATTTGTATTTTCTATACATAAATATTTTATTGTTATTCTTTAATTATTTTTTGATAATTATTATTTTTAAATATGGATATAAATTATACCTGACCCATGTCTTATTAATTGATTCTGCAAATATTGGTCGACATTGGGAATCTTAGACGGTGAGCTTTCTTCTTGACTTAAAATTTCTTGCTGTTGCTTAGAATTTTTATCTAGATCCAACAATATAGGCGAATGAGCGCATTCTTCATTAGTGCTATCATTTTCTGACTAAAAACAAAAAGAATTTGTTTTCAAGTATTCCATTCTATAAGATGGAGATCATAGGGCATGTTTCAACTTTCATAGTTTTTCAACTTAAGATGGCAGAGTTAAGTGACTCACTCAGTATAATTATAATTATAATTATAAGTATAATTTCATAAGTTACCTTTCTTTTTTAAAAATGCTTTTTGAAGTAGCAAATTCTTATCTACTATATATATCGATTGGTTTAATCATCTAAAAACGTTTATTCGTTTAATTCTTGCTCTCGAGTTTAAACGCGCTTTTCTCGAAAGAGTATTTCAATCGTTAATATCTTAAAAACAAATGTTCTAGTTAGTTTGAAAATTCGCACAATTATTCTTTACGCATATACTTTCCGCTTGATCTAAAATCAAGTAAATATATTACAACTTTCAATTCATTTATGAGTCGCAAAGTGAAGAGATAAAACACGCCACAAAAAAGTTTAAATACATTAACTAATAACCAGTACTAATCGCCAAAAAAATGTCAAAATTTTAAATATGAATGAATATGTACAGAAACTTTCAAGATGCTATATAATATAGTTTTTCCAAACGAAAATTCTCAAAATTTCCTATAATGATACGTCTCCTCGTAGGAATACTTCTGACTTCGGACTCATGTCAGCAAGGGGTTGAAGGATTTTACCTCGTTTCTCGACAATTCGTTGCCGTATTCCTCCGAGTCCATGCCGAAAAATCAAACTGTTATCAATAGAGATACCGGCTGATCGCTCCTGGGACAATTTGGACAAGAAAGTTCCAAAGGTACTGTCGATCTACCTTCTTCGAGAAACTTTCCTAAGGCATATATCACACGCGACTGTCGAACTCGTTTGTCGTTGGATAAGATGTGGATCGGTCACAGACAGTCGTTATTAATGTTAATTTTATCCATTTATTAAGTATTCAGGTGTTCCAACAGAGATTCTCAATTTATGGAGAATCGTCATTAGATCTTCGGTTCAAGGGTACAAGCTGCTTAAGTAAAGCTGTGCTAAACTTTAAGGATTCAGGCTTAAATTCTTGCGGAGAAAAGATATTTTTAAAAGTTTTTCTTGTATTATTGTAGATTCTTTACTTAATACTTAATGAATTTAGGTTGGAAGCATTTTTCTGTTAAACTATCCAGAACGAGCTCAAATATAGCGATGGCTGACGCGTATTGCTCATTGTATAAAACTGCATAAAACTATCGACTTTAAAAAGACTTCGTTGTAAAAAACGGCTGTAACATTTTATTGCCGAGAATCATTTTTAAAGCCATACTTGAGCTTATATTCAATTTTTTATTTAATTTCGACAAATAATACAAGAGTTTCTTCTTATCAAGACAAATGAGAGCCACTGGGATGATCGGAATAAAAGTGGGAATGTAAACATCGAAACATAATAGACGCCCGCTCGATGGAAATACTAATGACACAGACGATGCAAGTATAACGGATTGCGAAGAATAACGATCATTTTCGAGAATGCGTTGTATCTGTATCATTATAGAAAACTGTATCATTATAGAAAAATTAAGCATTTATGTGTCTGGGGGGAAGATCAACCGGATATCGAATATATTAAATTATTCTCACAGGAGTTCTTAATCGCATCATTTGACAACTAGCTCATCTTTACCACTCATTTTCGTTCATAAAATATATATAGCAACATGATATTACCTCTTTGAAATATAAAAATTGAAATAAAAGTCCATTGTATACTTTAAATTTAAAACGTTGTAGAATTTTGAAATAGTAACTTGGACATTTTTTGCTGAACATTTTTATCTAAAGAAGAAAAGTTGTTTTAAATGTAAATGTCTTTTCTAGGAAAATAAGTCGTTAAAAAAATTCGCAATTCATAATTGTGTAATAAATAAATACAGAGATTAATACAACTTGTGAGACTTTTAAGAAGCTTGAGGATTGTTAAAATTAGTCCTGTAAGCAATTTTATTTAACTTAGCATTGTATTTCTTGAATTAGCAAATGATCTTTCTTTTTATTATTTTATTATTATTATTATTATTATTGTTATTACTATTGATAAAGGAAAAAGAAACATTTTTTGATTGCACAACACAGTGAATATTCGATAAATGACGTTTTCCTAATTAAATATAAAATGATTAATGCTATCGTTTGCTTTACGGTATTAATCAAAGCCTTAATCTTGTTGCAGGAAGTTGATGCTCTTATATCTTTTTATATTGTATACATGTGATTGTATACACATATATTGTATACATTGTATATAGTGTGATACATGTATATGGTAGATAGATCTTATCAAATAACGCAAATTGTCTCATAACGAACTTGAAATGTTGTCGAACATTACTATGTGTTTGACAGAAATAATATGAAAATATTACTTTTGTAGAAATATGAGAAAATCAAAGAATGTGTATATACATGTAATATTACGAACTTGCGGCAGGCATACGAGAATTGCCATAATCCACGAACAATATACCATAATCGTGGATGTTTTGGAGATAACGTTATAATAATTAAGAGAATGACAAATTGCGTAATATCTATCAATTGTTGTCAGAATGAATATGTTTAAATAAGGATCTAATGATTGTAAAAATTATATTATTTTACAAAATATTTTTCTTTTCTGAAATCTATCATTATTTTGAATTATTAAATTAAATATTGAATTAGATTGATACATTTTTTGAAAATAGAAATATAATTTAAAAAATATTATCGTTTCTTTTTATTAACTTTTAGTTTAGAAAAAATATAACAAAACTTCTAATAATCCTATATTTCTGTTAACAACTATTTCTATTAAGTTGCTTAATTAGCGGAAAGTAATATTCCATACAAGTTGCAGTAATATATCTACCAATATCTACCAATATGTTTAAATACTTTTAAATAATTGATCTCATACTTAATATATCAAAATATTCAGGTGAATTCATGCAACTACGTTTAAATGTTCAAATCGCCATGTTGTGACGTATCAGATCATTATGTAGCCAGCTAATGAGCATGCTCGAGAATGTTTTGTATTTACGTTTTCGAGACAGTACGGCATGGAGTCGAAAGATAAAATTGCAAACATACGAGCAAAATTCAAGGATGTTCGAAAATTATTGGATGATCTTGAAAAACACAAAACAAAATACGAACCGTATAAAATAAAATATCAGGCAATCGAAGTATTAAACTCGATGGAAGTAGATCTGACTAATATTTTGATGGATATGCCAGAGGAAGAAAAAGAGGAGGAGATAATAATGCTTGCTGTGGTACACTTAAATCTTGGTTTATTACATGCCGATACGGAAGAATTAAAAACAGGCGAAGAACAATTCATGAAATGTATAAAATTATTGGAAAAAAAAGAGCTAGAACCAGAAGCTGTTTTACCAGTATTAAGCGCTTTGAATCAGCTGGGTATTATATGGTCCCAATGGAATCAACCTACAAAAGCAAAAGACTTTTTAAATCAAGCAAAGAAAATCTACAATGACTTTATAGATACTAATAACTCATGTAGAGATCCCATTAATATGGCCCAAAATTTTGGCATTGAACAAGTTGAATGTGAACTAAGTCCTAAAGATGTGTTAGAGAAAATTCATACTTTAACGTTATATTATTTAGCTCAGGTATATCGTTCCTTGAAAGATCATCGCCAGTCTGCAATATATTGTCACATGACCCTGTGTAGACAATTAGGTCAAAATGACATTATGCAAGATTTAGATTATATTGATTGGGCACTGAACGCAGCCACATTGTCGCAATACCTTATGGAAAATACTAGTTTTACTCAAGCAAGACATCATTTAGCAGCTGCAATTTACATATTACAAAAATATGAAAATATATTGGAAGAGAAAACTAAAAATAATGGAGAAAGCGAAGCACTTGCAGCTGAGTGGGAAAATTTTAATCACAGAAGTGCAGACGTTGCCAGATGTTGGGCCAAATATGGAATTTTGCTTCTGATGTTATCAAAAGAAAGACTTTTACACAAAACAGAATCAGAACAGAATAATGATCAGTTGAATAGGGATTCTTCAAAGATAATTGATGACCTAAGGTTCAATGTCCTAGAAAAAGAGATAGAGTCAATTGCTAATCAGATTACGGATAAATATTTATTAGATTTTGAAGATGCTAAATTAGTCTTTCTAAATGTTCAAAAATGGTTAGAGCAAGCTAAAACATATTATACTTTAGAAAATCATGCATCTGATCATACATCAATTATACAAGATATTTCTGTAACTTATAAATATTTGGCATTCTTTGAAGAGCATGAAGATAGACAAGCAAAAATGCATAAAAGGAGAATAGACATATTAGAAAATGTTATCAAAGAGTTAAACCCTCAATATTACGAATCTGCTTGCAGACAAATTTGGATTGAATTAGGAGAAATATACTCTGATATTCTTGATATAAAACTCGACCGCTTACGATCGTCCGATGAAAAACCTGCACCACAAATGCTAACAAAAATTAATCACTTAGCAAAAAATTCCATAAAGAATTTTCAAGCGTTTCTCAATTCCTTACATATTCGTAACTCTAGTTCTGATATACAAGAATTTCCTGATGAAATAATGCAACCAGCCTTATTTTCTTACTTCCACCTTGGCAGATTGTACAATAAAATTATATCTCCTGACAAAAACATCCAATTGCAAAATACGCAACAAAGTATTAATGCATATAGATTTATAATTGATTATTGTGAAAAATATCCTAAAGCAGCTGAGGTGATGAAAGTAGAATTAAATCTATGCAAAGAATTGGTAAATTTATCGGTACTTAAATCAAATCATTATCAATCAAAGTAAATATGTTACAAGAAGAAATAATTGTTAAATAAAGCTATATTTAATTGATGCACACGTAATTTAATAAGCTGTTCAATTTAACATTATTTGTGTAAATTGTGAATTGCTTACAGAGCATTTTGATTCAATTCCACATCTCTTTCATCTCTATTGTTGTGACAAATTTTAATACTTCGTTTTCGTAATTGTAACAATTCCTTCATAATATCATGATAGAATGATAATATAAATACGAATAATATAAAAATGTAGTGTACATTTATTTCATTTTTCTTTCAGATTAAAATTTATATTGCATATTTTAAACAATGAAAAATTATAAATGAATAAATTTTATTGCTAGTAAAGTTTCCTAGTTAATTTTAATTTATTTTCTTAACATGTAGATGAAAGGTATGCAAAAACAATCAATGTAATTATGATAAGACAATTTTGTATTTATTTCATATAATAAAAAATCATTTTTTCTCCACTTTTTTACTGGCACCAGTAACCTTTACTTTCTTAACCTTTTTTTTCAATCTGTAAAACGCAACGGTTCTTATTTTGTTTCTGATCTGTCTTGCTTTTCTTAGCTTAAAGCGGTCAAAATCACTAAGTTCCAAACGCTGAAATTGAATAAAAATGTATCTTAGTTACTACGCAAAATGTAGCTACATATGAGAACATATTCTTTATAAAATATTAAACCTACTTTCTTCTTAGCTTCGACCTTTCTTGCCCACATAGTCTCTTTCCAAAGGTCATTAATATTTGCAGCTTCCCATGCCTTACGTACAACACGGGTGGATCCAGTATATGGGAAACGTATACGGAATTTAGTTAGGTGGAGCTCATTTAACCTCATCTCAGAACGTGGGACATTTGAAGCAGGGCCATCAACCAAAACCTAGAAACATAACTGAACTTTAATATACAATGTTTATTATATCTATAAAAGGAAACAATTAAATATTTTGGCATCAGTTAAAGCATAATGACATCAATTAAATATCAGTCGGCAATTCCTATCAAGATATTGGATCATCATTGTATTACTATTTAAAAAACAAAAAC